GATCTGGATGTCATCTGCAAAGGCACGAGGGGTAGCACAAACAGGAGCTAGCAAGTTAGATAATCGGCGCAGCAGCGGGTCGATGCATAACGCAAATAAAGCACCCGACAGCGGACATCCTTGTTTAATGCCTCGGGTGATCGAGTAGCCTGGAAACTTCTTTCCTGCTAGGCATATGTGTGTGTGTAAATACCGGTGTATAGGAACCGAATGGCATTCACGATATACATGGGTATGTTCATCATGATTAGCACATCTATGATCCAGTCGTGGCGCAGCGACGGGAACGCGGCGCGGAAATCCAAGAGGAGCAGCCCCGCGTGCGGCATGCCGCGATAGCAGGCGCATTCAAGAATGTCTGCCTCAAGGCAGAGCAAGTTGTCGAGCATAGACCTCTTGCGCACGAAACCCGTCTGGGAGCCTAAGACGCTGTACTGGCATTGCTGGCTAAATGGTTCGCATATGGCCAATGATACTATTTTGTTATCAGTGTTGCTGAGAGCAATAGGGCGAACCACAGACGCTTCCCGAGAGATCTCAGAGGTTCCAGCTTCGTGCGGGCAGATGGCCTTAGGGAGGTATACCGTGAGAGACTCGTTGAAGCCTTTATGCGGGGGGCCATATGTAGGATTGCCCAATATAGCGAGATAAACTTGATACAAGGCATTGTGAGCAGCGTCTCCAGCGAACCGCCATGCACTGTAGGGAATTCCGTCAGGGCCAGTCGCGCTGCCCTTGCGGCTGACGAGCTTACCTATGAAGCTATGCAGGTCGAGCGTCCACTCGATACCTGGGGCAACCTGCTGAATCTCACTGCTCAACAGTGTCTTCTGGAAGTGGTATCCCCTGTCCTGAGGCTTCGCGGCATGGGCCCGCCCCCAGTGGGACGCAAGGTTCTGAGCACTGACTTCGAGATCAGGCGAATGGTTCCCGGTGGGGTCGGGGACCGAAACCAGAACAATTCGGCGCCTTTTGGGAGACCACTGTCGCAGAAGCTGGTGCAACCTGAGGCCTCGATCGTCGTCGGGGGCTCCGCCGCCTTCGACGTGTTCGCGAATTTCTCGCTGAAGCAGAGAATGCTGGAGCTCGGCCATTTCCCGATAAAAAGACACAGAATCTCTAAAACAACATTCATCAGCATGAACATGTAGACTAAGATGAGGAATAGCCTGGATACACCTCCGAACGTCCCAAGACTTGCCATCCCGAACAGCCCGTAGACACTTAAGGTAAACCGACAACTTCTGCGCATCATTGTTGGGGCCTCGGAAGAACATGCGAGTCATCAGAGCATCCTTGGCAACATACATCGCGTCTTTGACGGACAGGAGGTACTCGAACGGGCCCCTGGGCATTTCAACCGAACTTATGGCAGCCTCAACCTCAGAACCAAAATCAGGATGTTTGGCAATCCAGGAGGGGATCGTCGGGGTAGTTCTGCCGCCAGGCGAAAACTGAAGCCAAACAGGAATATGGTCGCTCGGCTGGGCGACATCATGAGCAAGACCTATGACACCGCTTCTTGGTGTCGCATCAAGAATGTCGGTGGTGGCAGAAGAGATGTAGAACCTATCCAGGCGACCAAGGCTGAGTGCACCGTCCTCCCTCCTCCCAGTCCGATGAGTGGGCTCCTGTTGGGCAACTTCAGCAAAGTGTCCGAAAGCCCGAGAAAACATGTGCAGAATAGCGGTCCTCTCAGGGGTGGGTTCCCTTCCGTCTGTGAACGTCCTCATCTCCCCCTCCTCCAAGAAGTTAAAATCGCCTCCCAAGATGACTGTGGCCTGATCAGCAGGCAGAGCGTGAGCAGCAACCGCGCGGATCACACGATCCTTCTCAACGTCGGAGAGGGTAGGGTCGAGGTGAAAGTTAATCAATTGCAGCGTGCCTTTCTCGCCTGTCAATGTAACTGCTATGCATCGTCCATCGATAATGTTAACTACGTGGATGTCCTGAAAGAGCTGGAGCAGGGAAGGATCAATAGACATGGTAACGCCTCCCGCAGCCGCAGAAGAGCAAAAAGAGCCAAGGTGCGTGTGTGCTGGCACGTCACGATCCAGCGAGGAAAGATCTTCTTCGGTCCCGTGGGTTTCCTGCAAAAATACTACTTGAAAGCGTTGTGCAAGACTTCTGAAAATCTGCTGTTTCCGATGCTGTCTCTGTGGGTCGCCGTAAACACTGCCAAAAAATGCACGAGTATTCCAAGAAGCAAGACCCACAGCACGAGAAATGACAAATGGATGCCGCTGCTCAGCAAGAGCAGCTTCACCTCCCCCAGGAGAGTGTGGATCAGGAAGGTAGGGATCATGAATAGCTGGAGCATTCTCAGGAGGAAGAGAGTCAGGCGGTGTCGAGGTGGCCTCCCCCCGTTCTCGCAGCAGGGCTCGCAAACGTTCAGGATCGAATTCATCGTCACTATCGCTCCCAGGTACTGGCTCACTCCGCCCCTATTCGCGGCGAAGCGCAGCAATGACCAGCTCGGGCAGCTTGTCTACTTGCTCGTCGGTGAAGCCGTAGCGCTTCAAGTTGCCGCGGTTGGGCTCAACGTTCGGGTTGTCGGTCTCGAGGACATTCTGCAACACGACGAGCTCGTCCACGAGGTCGCCGTTGACCAAGAAGCAGAGGCCCATGTACTTGTTGCATCGGAGCTGCGAGTCAGGACGCCATGTGCCAGCGTCAGTCATGACCTGTTTGATGTGTTGCCAGACCTGGCCCAGCACCCAACCTTTCTTGCGGATGTCGATGGGTTCGTCGGTGCCGACCCGAAGCCGATGCCGAAAGCCACTGCCATCTCCCCATTCTAGCGTCATGGCACGCAGCTGCAACATGGCATTTTTGGCGTCGTCGGCGTCTTCGAAGATAATGACGTAAGCGTACTTGCAGCTCTTGGTGATCGCGCTGCACTTGTCGCGGTATGTGGGCGAGAGTAGTGTCTTCAGGAACTCGAAGTGCTTGTCGAATGCAGAAGCCATCAGCTTGACAGGGAACCCTCGCACCCAGAGCTTCCGCCTGTCAGCAGGCGCGGCGCTAGCTCCACGGGGCGTGGCCACGGTCCCCCATGTGCTGGCGATGCCAGATGCCGTCGAAGGTGGCCGTGAAATCGTAGCGACAGAGGTCTTCAGCTCCTCGAGTGCGGCATTGATGACGCTGATCTTCTGGTCGGTCTGAGCGCTAAGTAGTGAAACCGTCAGGCATGTGTCGACCATCTCGTCAGAGGCTTCGCCGCCCGTGATGTTGCCGTGGCGCTGCTGCAGGGCGATGATCTGGTTCTGCATGTGCTCGAACTTGATGTCCATCTCATTGCGCATGTCGGTCTTCATGCTCTCCATGTCTTTGGCGAGGCTGGCAAACTTTGCGTCGTGGGCATTGACGGTGGCTACGACGGTGGACATTGATGCCAGCAGCTGATCCATCTTCTGGTCCATGGAGAGAGTGGTGGCCATCGCGGCAGCCTGTTGGCAGGCAAAATGCTGTGCCGAGTGAAAACGTCCAGGGCTGAATCCTGGCTTTACGTTCCCGATGTGGTGTGAGTACGTGGAAATGCGGAGACCCTTGTCCTGGGGCCTCTCCAGGGTCTCTCTCGCGCGCAGCGGGCGCAGGCCACTTGAGACGGGGGGTTGAGTTCCCGATATGGCCTTGAGCCAAAATGGCTTGAGCCAAAATGGCTACGGATGATGATGATGATGATGATGATGATGATGATGATGATGATGATGATGATACTGATACTGATGATGATGATGATGATGATGATGATGATGATGATGATGATGGTGACGACGATGGTGGTGGTGGTGATGATGGACATAAGGACGATGGTGATCATGATAGTTATCCACCTTTCGATGCACACAGCGGGCAAAGCATAGTGCACATCCTTTGCGGATGAAAAAATTCAGCGTGAAGAAGTCCGCGAAGGGGGGGAGCGAGGGGGGCATGCTCATAAGCATTGCATCGGGAAATCAAAACGATTTGGGATAAGCGTCGGATCTGGCTGCGTCGGCACGGAGCCGACATCGCATCCTACGACAGGATGCACGCGGAGCAGGATCCACGAATGTGGCCCGCGCCAGGGCGAGAGCGCCACCCTGAACGACAAGTGCAAATCGTCGATCCTAAAATGTTGTTTTTTTTTCCAGCGGACTATTTTGGGACCGAATCCGTGACACATGCATTTGCCTTGATATGTGAGCCCAAGTTGTTTGTGTTGGGCCTGGCAGGCGGTGTGGAGAGTACATGTGGTGCGTCGCGGTCGTCCCCTTCCTCGTCCTCCTCCTTCTTCTCCCAAAATAGTGCGTCGATCCTAAAATGTGCCAATGCTGCGGCGGGAGCTGCGCTGGTCAAGAACCGAGCTGGTTAACAAAAACACTGGGAATACAAATTTTTGGAATCCTGTGGATGGAAAGTCGATGCCTCGACAGAAGCGGGAGCACGCTAGAACAGTGTCAGGGGGAAAGAGGAGAGAAGGACTCACACTGAGTGTTTGTACAGTGGACGCAGGCGATAAGACATCATGTTATAAGAAATCTTAGCGCACAGTCGTCGCTGATGTCTAAAGGTCCCGAGGTGACCCAGAGATTCTACGGTTCCCTGGGGCCGTCAGGGGATAGCAAATTTCTTGGGGCACCTCCTGGTAGGACAAAATCTTACTGGACGTATCCTAGTGTACAAGAAATGCTTCCTGATCCTCCTGCTCCTCTCTCTTTCTCGACCTCCTTCATCCTCATCCCCATTCCCATCCTCCTCCTCCTCCTCCTCCTCCTCCGCCTCCCCCCTCCACCACCGAGGTCCGCGCGGACATCTTTGATCGCCGCTAAAAACGCCGCCAGGAGGGGGCCCATCGCCGATCCGAGAAACCTGCGCGGACCTCCGAACAACTACGATTATGCAGTTCTTCGCCCTTCGACCTGAATCCCCTCTCCCCCGTGCTACTGCCCCGCGCTCCTCCTCGTGCTTCTCCGCTGGCTCACCCCGAACCGACGTGGCAACTGCCCGAGGCCGGCCTGCGCAGAAGACTCCCGCTCGCGCCGGAGCTCCTCGCGCACGGCCTGTCGGGCCCAGCGGGGGAGGCCAGGAAGGGACGCAGGCTGGAGGCGGCTGTCGAGAACACTCCGTGGGACGGAGGCCTTCAAGCAGCTACGGTGGCAACTCATGGGAACCTCCCATGATGGTTCTTGCGAATCGATGCTATCCCACGCCAAGCGACGCTGCATCGATGCTGATTGACGCTGATTCGACGCTGATCGACGCTCAATCGGCGCGTTCTCATCGATCACGAGCCGCTAGCGCACGCTGATGCACTCTAAAACAAGAATTTCGAGGAGATGCAAGGCACCCATCATTTGCCACCGGAAAAGAAGTGCTAGAGGGCTGGCGCGGCGAATTCAACCGAAAATGTAAAGGGCAAACTTGGCTGATGGACGGGTCGGGCCCGTTGGCTGATCAACCTGTTGAAGATTAAGTCGAAATTGAACCCGTACACGAGGCTTCCAGGTACAGGGACCCAGGACGGATGAGGCCAAGGAAGGTTCGGAGGCAACCTGTGGGAGGTCGAAAGATCGATTGAGGGCTATGAAGCCCGATTGAGGGCCATATCGACCCCGTAAAGAAGCTGGACTAGGCAAGATTCAGCGCAACAATGTGGAGATATGCGGCGTTGCGCCAGATTTAGGCTGGTCTGTCCGACCGCGAGTAGGCAAGCGTTAACCTTGCTGAAGCTCCACGAGCTTTGCAGACGCAAACAGTCGGCAAACCATCGTCGGCTCGTCTTCAAACGATGTCCGCTCTAAAGATAGCAGGACCAATCGGTATCGAATCGGGGAATCGGGCTGGATCGGGGTCTGCGTCGGACCGTGCTGCATCGGCATGGAACCAAAATCGAATCGGATCGACTGCGCCAGGATGCACAACGCCAATCAAGCACCGCGCCGCATCGGATTGTCAGAAGATCGGGATCAAGTCGGATCAGGGCTGGTCGAAATCGATATCGAATCAGGTCGATCGGATCCGAACACGCCCCATGACAAGGACAGAGGCAACCGCGGCCCCCTTGCACTTTACGAAGAGTCTGTGTTCACAATAACACAATTATTGCTCCGCGCTCTCAGGAACACTGGCCCATAGAAGATTACACGAGTCCGCGCTCCCAAAAGGATCTTCCATGTAAATTGCATTAGCCCCTGGGCGATGACTTCACGCAAATGACAAGGATCTGTGCCCCCCTCCCAGGGCCAGGATCCCAAGGTAAATCATCAGAGTGAGGGGGCCGAACGGTCATTCACTGTCCCTAGACGCGTGGCTGAGGTGAGGCTCTGCGGTGCGGATTGCTGTTGCGGTTATTGCTGTTGTCGTCGTTGTTGATGTTGTAGTTGTAGTTGTAATTGTAGTCGTAGTTGTAGTTGCTGTTTGTGTTGTTGTTGGAACCCCCCAGGCGCCCTGGCGCTCTCGCCTCGGCGCCGGCTATATCTTCATATAATATGAAGCTCACGCTCTAGCGGTTTGGGGGGGCGCCAAAACCTGCCCTCCAACAACAACAACAACAACAACAACAACAACAACAACAACAACAACAACAACAACAACAACAACAACGCTCCCGCTCGAGACGTCCTCTTTTTTTACCATGAGCTGGTGCTCTTGCTCGCCCCCGAAAGCCGCCGCCCCAACAAAACCATTGCTCCCGCCCGAGATTTCCTCCCGTTTTACCTTCGACTGGCGCGCTACTTTGTCTCTCATCGACGCCGCCCCCAGCAAGAACAACGCTACCGATCGAGACGTCGCCCTTTTCTACTCAGAGCCGTTGTTTTGCTCGCCGCCGAAAACCGCCGCCCCAGCAAAACCAGCGCTCCCGCCCGAGACGTCCTCCCGTTTTACGCTGCACTGGCGTCCAACTTTTTTTTTAATTGGCGCCGCCCCCAGCAAGAACAACGCTCCCGCTCGAGACTTCATCCTTTTTTACTCAGAGCGGGTGCTTTTGCTCGCCGCCGAAAACCGCCGCCCCAACAAAACCAGCGCTCCCGCCCGAGACTTCTTCCCGTTCCTCCTCCGTTTTTACCCTGAGCCGTTGCTTTTGCTCGCCGCCGAAAACCGCCGCCCCAACAAAACCAGCGCTCCCGCCCGAGACTTCCTCACGTTTTGCGCTGGACTGGCGCCCAACTCTCTTTTGAATTGGCGCCGCCCCCAACAAGAACAACGCTACCGCTCGAAATTCCGCTTTTTTGTTAAGAGCTGGTGCTTTTGCTCGCCGCAGAAAGCCGCCGCCCCAACAAAACCAGCGCTCCCGCCCTAGACTTCCTCCCGTTTTGCGCTGGACTGGCGCCCAACTCTCTTTTGAATTGGCGCCGCCTCCAGCAAGAACAACGCTCACGCTCGAGGCTTCCTCCTCATTTCCTGGAGACGGTGTGTTTCCTCGCCGCCGACAGCCCCAGTCCTGACAAAACCGCGGCTCCCATTCAAGACTTCTTCCCTTCTTAGTCAAGGCGGTGTTCCTCCTCGCCGCCGACAGCCGCCGTCCCAACAGAACCAGCGCTCCCGCTCGAGACTTCGTGATGCTTCACGCTGGACTAGCGCCCCACTCTCTTCTGCATTGGCGCCGCTCCCAGCAACAACAGCACCCCTGCTCGAGACTGCCTCCCTTTCAACTCAGGGCCATGTCCTTGCCTCGCCGCCGACAGCCCCCATCCCCACCAAGCCAATCCTGTCGCTCGATACTTCTTTGTGCTTTACCCGTGGCTGGGGCTCCACTGGCGGTCTCGCATCGGCGCAGCAGGGCGCGGGCATGTGTTTTCGAGGCGGGATATGTAGAAATTCCTCGGAGATGTTGCAAGACCTCATTGGGCGGGAGATCTAGGAATGGAAATAAGGGACCCCCGCGATAGAACAATAATCCCCCATGATGGGAATAGTTATCATGATGGTCGCATGCTGCGTGTGGAAACATCGCGCAGGAGGGTCAAATGTTTGTTGTAATTGTTGCTGTTGCTGTTGCTGTTGCTATTGCTATTATTGTTGTTGTTATTGTTGTTGTTGTTATTGTTGGTTGTTGTCGTCGTCGTCCCCCCATCGACCCAGCCCGGAACCGACCCACCCGCGACCCACTCGCAACCCACCCGCGACCCACCCCGCGACCCACCCCGCGACCCACCCGCGACCCACCCGCGACCCACCCGCGACCCGCCCGCGACCCTGCCCGCGACCCACCCACGAACCACCCGCGACCCACCCGCGACCCGGCCCGCGACCCACCCGCAGCCCACCCGCGACCCACCCACGACCCACCCTGCGACCCACCCACATTGCTTTGATGAGAGAATCTGCGCCTGCGGCGGGCTCACTGCATAATTTGTAATACTTTGGCGCCTGCGGCGGGCATTCTCAGAGCCTTGCAGACTGCCGACGTCCCCGCCGCCCCGTCACTCTTATCCGCAACTGCGAGGGCGGCGAGGACGTCGGCAGTCTGCGAGGCTCTGAAGAAGCCCGCCGCAGGCGCCAAACTTTTACAAAATATGCAGTGAGCCCGCCGCAGGCGCCTAACTTTTACAAATTATGCAGTGAGCCCGCCGCAGAAGCGGAGTTCTTCGTTAAAGCAAGGAGGGTGGGTCGCAAGATGGGTCGCGGATGGGTCGCGGGCTGGGGCGCGGGTGTGCCGTGGGTGGGTCGTGGGTGGGTCGCAGGTTGGTCGCGGGCGGGTCGCGGGCCGGGTCGCGGGTGGGTCGCGGGCGGGTCGCGGGTGGTTCGCGGGTGGGTCGCGGGGTGGGTCGCGGGTGGGTCGCGGGTGGGTCGCGGGCTGGGTCGCGGGCAGGGTCGCGGGGGTGACGACGACGACAACAACAGCAGCAGCAGCAGCACCAGCAACAACAACACCACCACCAACAACAGCAACACCAACAACAACAGCAACAGCAGCAACAACAACATCAACCGCAACAACACCAACAACAACACCACAATAACAACAACAGCAGCAGCATCAACAACACAAGCAACGACAACAATGACACCAACAACACCAAAAACAGCAGCACTAGCAACACCAGCCACACAAGTCATGTTTAGACTCTTCGCTCTTATTCGCTCGCGTGCCATTCAACATGTGTATCCCAAACCCTCGATACCAGCCTTCTACGTCTTCGATCGTGCGCCCTTGTGGTATATATTTCTCTTACCTGCACTGTGTATTTAGTGCAGCCCCTGAGGCAGGGGAAGAGAGGACGGACGGAAAAAAGGGACAATGGGGAAGGAGGAGGATGGAGCACATGGCATAGGGAAGCAGGAGGGGGGACACGTGGCATAACCAGACGGGCAGATCGGGCGGGTAGACCCTAACAGGCGGGTGGGGAAGGTTGTCCCAGGCGGCCAGGTCGAGCAGACGGGTTGCTGAAGCGTGCGTCCTGCATGAAGCGCGAGGAAGTCTCGAGCGATAGCGCGATTCCTTAATACACGGTGGGAAAATCGAAAGCGAGAGCGTGATTCCTGAGCGTCGAGGGCGCGGCGTCTGAATCAATTGCGAGGAAGTCCCACGCGAGAGCGCGATTCCTGCATCAATTGTGAGGACATCCCGCGCAAGAGCGCGATTTGGGAATACATTGTGAGGAAGTTCCAGGCCGCCCGCCCAAAGAAGAACGCCCCTGCAACTCAAGCCGCCAAGAGAGGCTGCACCAAATCTCTGAGAATATGATGTTCCAATCCCGTAGATGTTCCGCGATTTCAGCCTCTGGGCCCCTCACTGCGCCCCAGGACCATCAAACATGCATCTGGGACGATCATTAAGCTAACCCCCAGGGAAGCGGTCGGGACTTGTGGGGCCGCGCATTGACAAAAAGTGCGTCGTCGGATGTCTGGGATCTCTGCGCCGCAGCGGGCTCGTCTCGGCTCGATCAAAGGCACGCCCCCGCGCACCCCCAATACGAGCGAGTCGCACCCGGATGTCAGCGGCGCGCTCGCTCTGGAGGTTCGCATTGGCTGCCCATGCTGCCACTGCACCGTTTCACGCCCCATGCTGCCATTGCGGGTTCTCTTTACGACGCTGGGGCCACTGCAGATTGGAACGACGTATCGCGCCGCACCGCCGATACATCGGAGATGCTGCGCGAACGATTGAAGCACTCAGCGTGATGCTCATCGCATCTGCGACCTGGCGGGGAGACCATCAGTGGGGCCGAAGTCAGCTGCGTGAATCAGATCATTTAGCCCCTTCTTCCCCTCTACTCCCACCTTCCGTTGGGCCTGACAGGTTGCCCACCGACAGCCCGTCCAGGACGCACCCCTGGGAGTGGGTCGGGAAGAGGGTTACGCCTGCGCAGCCCGGCCGAGAAGTCGAGAACCGTGGGGCGACTTCCGCTGATCGGGAGGACTGCCTGGAGGAACCCACGCGCAACCAGTGACGGGCACGCTCCACTCTGCGTGCGGCAGGGAGGCGGGCGACGGCCACTTGAGGTCCGCGGAGGGCATCTCTGCGGGGCTTCCAGATTCGCCCGGTAACAAAAATGTAGACTGTACCCTGAAGCCCTGGGGGATGGGCGAGGGACCTGGTCGTGGGCTTGGTCAGCAACATTCTCTCCCTGGGGCGTGGTTCTTGTACACTCAGCGTGGCTGGAAGCTGACTGGGACGGGGAGGGCTTGTCTCCCAACAGAATTCCTTGAGGGCGAGAAGTCCCTGGATGCAGAACAGCAACATGAAGCAACGCCTGAGTACCCCAGCTCCAGCACCAACTGGCAGGAGTGGGCCCAGGAAGGCTGGCAGCATGAGGAGACGGGGTCCTCCTGAGGGCATCTGGCCCTGGACCTCGCGGTCTGGGCCAGTCGTTCATCCATCGTTGTGTGGTTACTCATGGGAGCTTCCCATGTCATCCTGCTGGCTCTTGCGCATCGACGCCAACCGACGCTAAATCAAAGCTGAACCGAAGCTAAATCGGCGCTATCTCGTTGATTGCCCGCCAAGAGAGAGAGAGAGTGGCGAGCACGCACGATGCTCCCATGATCTGCTACCGAATCATCGGGACGCTTCCCTGGGTAGAGGGGAAAACATCCCCCCAAGAATAACCACAACGAGGCCGTCTAGTAAACGCACCCAAAGAAGGACTCGAACAGGGCAGGGCCATTTAATAATCGCCCGAGGCCGTTCAGTAAACGCCAATTATCTGGTCCAGGTGATTTTCTTAACGCCAATATCTGGTCCGGGTGTTTTTCTTCCATTGACTGGGGGCCAGCAAGCGCGACTCTGGGCAAGACGACTCTGGGTTTGTTTACTGAGCGTGGGGGCATACCCCCCCGACGGGGGTCAACCTCGCCTCGTCGTCGCGCCGCGACGGGGGTCGGAGCGCCTTCGGCGCGCGGTGGCTGCCCGCGACGGGGGTCGATGTGGGGCTGTGGACGTTATTAAGAAACTCGGAGTGCCCTTCGGTGCGCGGCGTGCCGATCGCTGGCGCGTGCTGCGGCAGCGGCGGCCCCCGTGCCTGGGTCTGCCCCCCCTGCGCGCCCCCCCCCTCACCCGCAGGCCGCGGCCAAAGGCCACTCCCCGGCGAAGGGCCACGCCTGCCAGGCAGGGCCAAGGATGGTCACCACTGGGTTTAGGCTTAGGTCGGGCATGTCCCCCTACAGGCGGATTCTGGGCGAAATATCAAACAGACCCAAAACAACTAACCGAAAACAGTCAAAACATAATCTAAACAATCGTCCCCAGACCATATGTGTACTATTTTCTAACATTCCTCCTGTAGAGGGCCACGCCCGACGTAAGGTTAGGCTGCTCCCACCGTGCTTAGAGACCACATCCCAGAAATAATGTTGAGCACCCAGACAAGTATCGAAACGGTGTCGAACGAGTATCGCCTCCCAGGGCCCGACACGTAAAAACCTTCAAACTTCGGTACATTCTTGGTGCTCGATGTTTTACCTAACAGCTTTTGCTGATAGGTTTCTAGTGACCTCAAAAGAAAGCATCTTGACGCCCCAAGGGGGTCTGGGCGGGAACCGGACAGGGGATCCGGCAGAATCCGGCAGCCCCAAGCATCTTTAGGAATCCTTGAAAATTTGTAGGAATCCTTGGGAACCCATTTCCAGAACATCACTCCCAGGCCACATTTTGAATGCCCGGAACCAACTGTAGGCCACTTCGTATTCTTCGTGTTCCCAGAACACAATTCCCAGGCCACATTTTGAATGCCCAGAGCCAACTGTGAGCCACTTCGTGTTCTTCGTCTTCCCAGACCACCACTCCCAGGCCACATTTTGAATGCCCGGAGCCAACTGTAGGCCACTTCGTGTTCTTGGTGTTCCCAGAACAGCATTCCCAGGCCACATTTTGAATGCCCAGAGCCAACTGTAAGCCACTTCGTGTTCATCGTGTTCCCAGAACACCATTCCCAGGCCACATTTTGAATGCCCAGAGCCAACTGTAAGCCACTTCGTGTTCTTCGTCTTCCCAGACCACCATTCCCAGGCCACATTTTGAATACCCGGAGCCAACTGTAGGCCACTTCGTGTTCTTCGTGTTCCCGGAACACAACTCCTGTTCCATATTTTGATTACCCAGAGCCAACTGTGGGCAATTTCGTGGTCTTAGTGTTCCCGAAACACGAGTCCTGTGCCATATGTTGAATGCCCGAGCTGAGGCAGGCTGAGGCCGAGGCAGGCTGAGGCCGAGGCAGGCTGAGGCTGAGGCTGAGGCACGCCGAGGCAGGCTGAGGCTGAGGCTGAGGCAGGCTGAGGCTGAGGCAGGCTGAGACTGAGGCTGAGGCTGAGGCTGAGGCTGATGCAGCTGAGACTGAGAGGCCGATGCTGAGGCTGAGGCTGAGGCTGAGGCTGAGGCTGAAGGAGGCAGGCTGAGGCTGAGGCTGAGGCAAGCCGAGGCAGGCTGAGGCTGAGGCTGAAGCTGAGGCAGGCTGAGGCTGAGGCTGAGGCTGAGGCAAGCTGCGGCTGAGGCAGGCTGAGGCTGAGGCTGATGCAGGCTGAGGCTGAGGCAGGCTGAGGCTGAGGCAGGCTGAAGCCGAGGCAGGCTGAGGCTGAGGCCGATGCAAGCCGAGGCAGGCTGAGGCTGAGGCAGGCTGAGGCTGATGCTGAGGCAGGCTGAGGCTGAGACAGGCCGAGGCTGAGGCTGAGGCAGGCTGAGGCTGAGGCAGGCTGAGGCTGAGGCCGAGGCAGGCTCAGGAGGCTGAGGCAGGCTGAGGCTGAGGCAGGCTGAGACTGAGGCTAAGGCTGATGCAGGCTGAGGCTGAGGCTGACGCTGAGGCAGGCTGAGGCTGAGGCTGAGGCAAGCCGAGGCAGGCTGAGGCTGAGGCTGAAGCTGAGGCAGGCTGAGGCTGAGGCTGAGGCAGTGGCTGAGGCTGAGGCAAGGCTGAGGCGGCTGAGGCAGGCTGAGGCTGAGGCTGATGCAGGCTGAGGCTGAGGCAGGCTGAGGCTGAGCTGAGACAGGCTGAGGCTGAGGCTGATGCTGCAGGCTGAGAGGCTGAGGCTGAGGCTGAGGCTGAGGCCGAGGCAGGCTGAGGCTGAGGCCGAGGCTGAAGCCGAGGCTGAAGCCGAGGCAGGCTGAAGCTGAGGCAGGCTGAGGCTGAGGCTGAGGCTGAGGCTGAGGCTGAGGCTGAGGCAAGCTGAGGCGAGGCTGAGGCAGGCTGAGGCTGAGGCTGATGAGGCTGAGGCTGAGGCAGGCTGAGGCTGAAGCTGAGGCAGGCTGAGGCTGAGGCTGAGGCCGAGGCAGGCTGAGGCTGAGGCTGAGGCGAGGCAAGCCGAGGCAGGCTGAGGCTGAGGCTGAGGCTGATGCTGAGGCAGGCTGAGGCTGAGACTGGCTGAGGCTGAAGCTGAGGCAGGCTGAGGCTGAGGCAGGCTGAGGCTGAGGCCGAGGCAGGCGAATCCTTCGGAATCCTTCGGATTTCCCAGGAATCCTTAGGAATCCATAGCAATCCATAGGAATCAGGATTCCTAAGGATTCCTAAGGTTTCCTAAGGATTCCTATGGATCCCTAATGATGCCTAAGGATGCCTTAGGAATCCCTAGGATCCTAAGGCCGTTGCTACTGCGACTGTCATTGCGAATGCAACTGCGACTGCGAGAACAGCAGAATTCCACAATGGATTCTCACCTGAATCTTAAAGGGAATGCTTCCAGATATGCTTGTACACATCGCTGTTCGGTTGCTTTGCCGGGATAATGTTCTGGTGATCAAGGCTAGAGTAGGTTGGAACATCATAACAATGGGGGAGGTCGCCAACTTCTCGAAGAGGTCCTCTCAGGACTCCCGGCCCCCCCCAACCCCAAGAATACAGCAAAAGCTGCCCCAGATGTGCAGCACACTGTCAATCCCCAAGCCTCACCAAGAGGCTGGAAGCACACATGGCTAGATACACAAGTGAAAGCATTCGGGGGCCACGCGCTGGATGAGCACACGCGAAGCCTGGCCTACACGGCCACAGAAGGGCCGACCGCTGGAAAGACATCCCGTTATGTGTATCACGTTGTCACCCAGGCCGTCCACATCATGTGTATCCGGCTCCCTGGTGGACGTAGTAGCAAACGGCGGTCCCTCGGGCCCTGGGCCACCCAGCGGTGGTAGCCGCCGTCACCAGCGCCAGGGCCCCGCGACGCGGCGCGCCGGGCGCGGGGAGCCCTCGCGCCCGCGCGCGGGTGGAGGAGGCCGTCCCCCCTGCGCCTCGATCTCCGCGTCGGCGGCGGAAAGCCTGGCGGAGGGGGGCGCAGGCGCGCACGGGCGCGCGCAGGCCAGCCCGCTTGCGCGCGGGCGCGCAAACGGGCGCGCACCGGCGCGCGCGCGCGCGGGGGGTCGGAGCAGGCACCACCAGGAAGCTGGAGCACACACGCGGCTGGACTCTCGCGCGCGGGGCAGGGCCAGGCGCTAGACACGCCACGGAGGGGCCGAGCGCTGGAGAAACACATCTGACCACACATGCATCCAGCTCTCGCCACGGCCGGCCACGTCTTGTGCATCCAGGTTCCTGGCGGAAGGCAGCGGACAGCGGAAGAACCGTTTCATCACGCGCTGCCAGTGTGGCGTGACGCCACGCGTCGGCCCGACTAGCCGTATCAAGACGGCCCAAGATGCCTTCGGCATCGCTCCAAGAGGGCCGCCAAGAGGGGTCCGGAAAGACAACTCACTTTAAATGTTAACCATGTCTTGCAACATGGCCCCCGAGAGTTCCAGGAGGCATTTTCCCCATATCCGAAGCAGTGTCATATTGTTATCCATGTGACGCCTCCGCCTCCCCTTCTCCTCCTCCTCCTCCTCCTCCTCTTCCTCCTCCTCTATCCTCCCCCACCTCAACTCACTCGCACTCAGACTCACTCACGCTCAGGCTCGCCCACACTCAGACTCATCCACACTCGGAATGACTCGCATACTCACTCATACTCAGACTCAGCACTCAGGCTCATTCACGCATACTCCAATACATACACGCATAATGAGGTGCACTCGAAACTCGCCTCGCACTCAAATTGTGAGGACGTCTCTAGAGGAGGCGCCTGGTTGCAGCACCCCAGGGGAAGCCGCCAGGGGGTGTTGAACGGGCCCGTTCGCACCCCGATAAGGGGGAGGTCTCGGGCGGTTTGCATATCTGGCGGCTTGGGCGCTTCTGCATTCAAAGCAGATCGTGAGGATGTTTCGAGCGATGTGCTCCCTTGAGCACCCCAAGGGGGAGCCGCCAGGGGGTGTTGCACGGGCCCGTTCGCGCCCGGATAGTGGGGATGTCTCGGGCTGTTTGCCTTTTTGGTGGTCTGGACTCCGGTCCTTTCACAACAGATTGCGAGGATGTCTCCAGCGAGCCGCTGGTTTCAGCACCCTAACCTTGTAAGGCTTCGAGTTGCGCGCGGACGGCCCCCCAAGGTGGTCCCGACTAACCTCAACATGCCCCCCGAGTAATCCTAGCTGGCCCCAACAAGCCCCCCGTGTAGTCCGGGGCGGTCTAAACACCCTGGCACTGCCTCCGGCGACGCTCCTGCGGGGCGCCGCGCCCCAGGGTTGCGGTGTTGAGGCCGCCCCAGACTACTCGGGTGGCCTATTGAGGACAGCTGCGACCACTCGGGGGGCCTGTTGAGGCCAGCCGGGAATACAGAAGCCTGACCAGTTCCCCCGGACCCCTCCAGCCCCCTCCCCCCCTCGCGGAGCGCCCTCATTTCTTGCCTCGGCTGGGGCCGTCGAAGGCTCCGGCCTTGACGAGACTGTAGGCCGTGAAGGCAGCGATGTTTCCGCCGATGCCGCCGGCCATCACGAGGCCCCAGCCGCTGAATGGGAGGGTCTCGAGGCCAACCATGACGGCGATGCCGATGGCTCAGAGGAGGAAAAGGGTCCACAACCACCGAGAACCCATTGGGCGGTCGACCACCCCTGAGATCCGTGCGTTGCATCTTTGTTCACACCGGGGTTTCCGCACGATTTCGGGCCCCAGGGCCATGACAGATCAATCCGGCTCGTAAACTGCCGCAGGAACATGGGGTCTACAGGGCTCCAGTCTAGAGGGCTCCGCTTGCAAGTGTCGCAAGGTTGTATGTTTTTGCAACGTCGGATCTTAGGGCATGGGCGCTGACACGCCTGAGCGTCGTCCAGTACTGGGGGACTCTCCTGCGTGCCGCCGCCCTGGGGTCGATCGGCTACCCCATGGGTTCTCGGTGGCGGTTGTCTCTGTTTCTCCTCTGGGATGGTGGCGGCCTTGTTGAAGTTGGAGGCGAAGGCGGCGTGCGTCGCGGAGAGCGATTGCACGAAGAAGTACGTCAGCACGTTGTAGCACACCGCGAAGGCGCCAGACAAGAGCGCCAAGCCAAGCACCTCAGGCGCGTGCTGGGCCACCGTCTTCGTGATCTGCCAATCGGTCATCATGGCGCCAGGCCACTCGGTCGGGTGGGGCATGAAGAAGACGGGTAACAGCAGCATCAGTGCCGACAGAGGCGCCATGTACAGCGCCGTATCTATTGGATTCATCTTCAGGCTGGTGCCCATCAGGCCCGCCAGCGCCATGTTCAGCGAGGCAGAGGCGAGGGAGGCCAAGCAAATGATCACACCCAAGACGACGTTGGACCCGGCCTCTGGGTCAGCGCTGGCCTTGGAAAGCTGGGCCTTGCTCACCACGGCCAGGCCAGCGCACACGATGCCGAGGACCATCATCGAGACCTCGATCAAATTGATGTTTTTGACGATCTTGCCAGTCGCCTTATCCATTGCCATTTCGCAGAAGAAGGTCGAGAGCGGGGAGCAAGATCGCATGATGAGGTTGACCGACAGAGGTAGCAACGACAGGCTGAAGTTATTGAGCGCGATGTTCAGAGTGAAAGTGACTGAAAAGGCCAGAACAGTCAGCCAACCGAACTTCGTGTCGACGATGACTGGTTTGTACCGCCACGGCGAAAACCACAAGATGGCAATCCCCAGCATGATAATGGCGAAACTCGTTGCCTGCTGAATGCCTGTGACGGCGAAGGCGGCTGGGTAGCCCTTGAGGTGCAACTCCCTGGATACGATGCTGCCTGAAAGGACGACCTTCATGTATAGGTTCATGAACGTCTGCGCGCCAAAGAAGATGCACACCTTGCCGATGGTGTTGACTGCCCCCTCCGACCACATCAGCGGCAGCCCCATCAGGACGGCCGCGAAGGGAACGACCAGCTGCTTCCAGAGCGGCGCGGCGTTCTTGAAGTAGGCGTCGATCTCCGCGTAGAAGGCCGTCATGCCCTCCTGGGCCTCCAGCTGCTGCACCTCAGCCTTCAATAGCTGCTGCCTCTGGGCATCGGCCTTGTCGGCGCCGTTCAGCGCCACAACGTCGGCCTTCATGGGCTCAGTACGTTCCACCGTCGACGGGGCGACGTGCTCACGCGCCTCTGCGCCATCCACCGAGGCTGTCCGCAGGAAGGCCCAGCCGCTCGCCCCAGGCTGCGGCTCGAGCACGAGCGCCGACACCTGGGCGGCCCAGGCCGAGAGAAGCAAGGCCTTGGCCACCACGGAGTGCCATGAGACCATGGCCTCGCCGATACGTACCAAAAGATTCAGTACTGGAAACAGATATAACCAAACTCTTGGGCCACACGGGTCACCGCAACACGCACACACACACAACACACACACACACACGCACACACTCACACCACTGGCTGGCGTCGTGGCCACGCGCGCGGCGGCGCGGCGTAGAGCAGGTCGAGCAAACGCGCGTAACACACACACACAAACACACACACACACACACACACACACGCACACGCACACGCACACGCACACGCACACGCGCACACACACACATTGGGAGAAACAACCATGTGTTTCAGGTTGCGGCGCGGCCAGCGAAGCGCGTCGGACAGAACCGCGCAGGCGCTGGGCACTTAGATGGCATCTGGAAGTCAAGAACAACCACGCATTCAATTGAAGCCGCAGTGCGCAGCTGCAGGCAAAGCGGGTGACCCACATTGCAGCTCTGTGCGGTATCCACGCGTCAGAGACGTAGACAAGCACCGAGGCGAGTGTGCGATGCTGTGCTGTAGAACTACAATACCGCCGTCGCAGAATTACTGCCGAATGAGCACCGCACGACGGCCACCCCAGCACATGCACACGTCGTTGTTGGTTTTCTCCGATGAGCCGATGGACTTCAGCCGACGGAAGCTACGCGACCAATCGCGTTAACAATGAACTGGCCGCCTTGTGCCGAACGTGCGCGAGACTGGAAACCTCGAGATAGGTGGAGCCGGAGTTGCCTGGACAAGCTGGCACAAGAGACAAGAAAAGGGGGTAGAGGAGAACCAGTAACACTACTGAATAATTCCAGCGGCGAAGAACGTTGACAGGCACGCGCACAAACAAACGCACACACAGACACCTGCACACGCACGCGCACACACACAATAGCACACACAGACAAAAACGTACGACACACATACACACACGCACACACACACGCACATAATCATCCGGTCCATGCTACCCTATCGAAGCAGTCTGTTACACAGACCAGTGGGTGTCGGTGTTAGTGTTGCGTCGTCGGTTTTGGGTGGCGGACCGTGCCTCTCCCTTGGACACTGCCTCTAGACATGCTTTCATGGCGCGCGGCTGGCTCGAGTGAGCGTGGGGCCACGGCCTTCCCGCCATCGGGGGAGGATCGTGCACACGCGCGCACACAGACACACACACACACTTTGCGTCGGCGGCTGGGCAGAGGTCTGCTCCGGCGGAATGGCAAGAGGGGACACGCTGTATGCAAACACACGCACAAACACACTACACACGCATTGGGTCCATGTTATCATATAGAAGCAGAATGTTCAATAGACCAGCTTGCTGCCTGTGTGCTCTGGCATCCGCTCCTACTCCCATCTCTGCTTTTTCACCTCGTCCACTGCATCCTGCTAATGCGACTATCATGCCAGTGGTTGTCCATATTATTATCTCATTCTGCTCCTCCTCCTCCTCCTCCTGCTCCTGCTCCTCCTCCTCATGATTATGCTCATCCCCCCGGGCTTCGTTTTCCAGCCAGACGGCGTAGCACGAGTCGACGACCTTTGCGAAACAGAGCGAGCGAGGCCAGACCATTCGGGAGCCGAGCACGCACACCTCCCCTTCAAAAGCAACTAACAAGGAAGAAACTATAAAATGAATGAACAACAGGGCGGCGGTTGGGGTAGATGGGGGTGAAGCTAGAGCCAAGATAGGACGGAATACGCAAGGATGCTGCCACGGCTGTCCCACTCCGCTCTCAAGGATTTCCGTACAAGTACAAGGCATCCCCCCGGGCTTCGTTTTCCAGCCAGACGGCGTAGCACGAGTCGACGACCTTTGCGAAACGGAGCGAGCGAGGCCAGACCATTCGGGAGCCGAGCACGCACACCTCCCAAACCTGTCGGACTTCCAGGCCCACCCCGATCAGCAATCTGGCCCCGACGGGGCCGCAAACACCATCTTGTTGAACAACTCGGCCTTAGACGAGGCCCACGCATTGTAGTAGATAGATGCCAGGGCTTTACAGAGACCAGGAGGATAAGGCTCGGCGATCTTGGACCAGAATACACCCTTGTCGTTTTTCCCTTGGATGGGGATGTGAGGCAGGCCGGAGCGTTTGCACAGGCCACGTTTGGCACCGAGACAGCGAGCTTCGGCGAGGGCGTCCATGCACAGACCCGTGCTGAGGAAGCCGGTCGACTTTCTCCACTGGGCACCCCACATGCAGAAATCGGTGACAGTGAAATTGATCTTGCTCGATTTCTGAAGTCTCTGCATGGCGGGGCAAATCCAGATGCGGCTCCGAGCGGGGTTCTCCAGAGTAGCTGGTATTCCCAAAAGCATAGTATCCCGCATCACCGCAACGGAGAAGAACATTAACAGGTTGCCGACGCGAACCTTGTCGGCGTCGGCGGGGCTCAGGTCGTCGAGGCCCATGGGTGACGAGTTTGACCTTAACGGAGGGGGGCCTGGGGGCACATCACGAGCCCGCGAAAACGAGGAGCAGGGCGTTCCCAAGTGGACGCCGACCACGTTGCCTGAGCGGATCCAACCTCTGATGAGGCTGCGGTTCCGAGCCAGTCGCAGATCGTAGTCGGCACCCAGCTCCACGTCCCAGAGAAGAACGTTCACGCCCTCTTTTGCGACTGCTTGGCCGAGCCGGCCTGACCCCGAGAAGACCTCGAGGAAGAAGCGGACCTGAGGCCGGGGGCCGCCGGACAAGGCCGGCCGCGGACGATGGAGGCCATCGAGCGCTCGCAGGACAGCGCGTGGGCGCGGAGGTCCTCGGGCAGCTTGAGTAGCACCTGGCCGATGCGGCTGCCCTTCTCGTAGCGCCTGACCGAAGCCCACGACCGCCAGCGCCCGCGGCGCCTCACGTCCTCCAGGCTCCTGAAGCCCCCGGCGGAGTCGTGCGAGGCGCCGCCGTGCCTGAGCTGGTGCAGGTGGACGTCGCCGAGGTACGCGTCCAGCTTGAGGCTCCGCACGACGCCGCTCACCGCCGTCACCAGGTCCTTCAGGGCGAAGCCGAAGATTGGCGAGCGCGGGCTTTGGCCCTGACAGAGGGCCTTGAGCGCCGGGCCGAGAGGGGCATGTCGCTCCAGATCCAGGCGCATGGACTCGTCGAACTCGTTCGTCTCTGACGACCTCCCGACCTCCCGCGCGCGCAGCGTGATGGCCCAACAGGGGGCACTTGCCACGCCCGGCACTGGGGGTATGAGGTCCACCCCCCTCACATGGAAGATCTCGCCTGGCCGAAGGTACAGCTCGAAGATCAGGATGATCGCGACCGCGCAGGGCAGCTTCCCCGATCTGACCAGCTCGTTGGCGATCAGGGCGACTACCTCGCGCGGCAGCGGTAGCCGCGACTGGGGAGGGCAGCAGCGCCTGAACCCCTGGAGGGCCCTCCGGCTCCTGGGCATGAGGGCCCCCGCGGACTTCTGGAGGCCCGTGAAGAACGTCACCGCCGCGAAGCCCCACTGGGCCGACCCCAGGTTCTCGCCGTTCAGGTACAGCGCGTCCAGCCACCCCACGAGCTGCTGGTCGACGCCCGCCTCCGAGGTCGCAACCGGGGCGGCGAGCCACGCCAGGAACTCGGCGAACCGCGACTGGTACTTTTGGCGCGTCCGAGGCCGAACCGAGGCGCTCTCCAGCACCGTGAGCCCCCCCGCTGTGACGGCGGAGGCCCTCCGCCGGGCCGCCGCGTCGGCCACCGTCTGGCGCTTCCTCTTGGTTGGAGGAGGGCGGGCAGCGGCTGGTTGGCGGCGCGACGGGCCGGGGCCCCGTGCTGACGTAGAGAGGCTCGCCGTCATGGCCCCTCGGGTGGCCCCCCGTCTGTCCAGCGGCGAGGCCAGCGAGGCCGCAGGCGCCGCCGGCGGCGCCATCCGAGCGCCGGTCGAGGTCGGCGCGGGTCTGGCCCGCGGGAGCATGTTTGGAGAAATCGAGCGGGCTCGGAGCAGCTGGAGCCCAGAGGCCACGGGAAGGAGAGTCCGCGACGTTCCACTCCGAGGGCAACCGCCGATAGTGCAAGGCCGAACCGGTAACGAGCGAGAGGGCCGCGATCGCCTGGGTGACCCGCATCATGCTTCGGCTGTCGCTCCGAAACCGAGTCACCGCCCCGGCCGTCGACTGCGAGTCCCCCAGGACCACCACGTGCTTCCCGAGGTTCCGAGACGAACGAAGAAGATGGCGAAACCCGTACAACGTGGCCCTGGCCTCGTAGACGGCGATACTCCCCCCCTTGCGCCTCCACGGGAAGCGACCGACGACGGACCACCGCAGCTCGATCATCTCTCGCGGGACCTCTGGGAAGTCCACGACCCGCTTGACCCGACCGAACCCGAAGACGTCTCCGGAGCTGTCCAGGACACCTGAGCCAGCCGACGGGGGCTGGGGGGGAGCGCACTCGGGCCCTGGGACGTCGTTGGCGGCGGCGATCCAGGGGGCAGCCTCGCGGGCCTCCCCCGCCAGGGCCGCCGCCGCCTCGGCCTTTCGAGCGTGGTCCAGCGCGTGGCGACGAGGTCCCATGGCAGCGCCGACCCGACCCCAGCGCCAACGCTCCGAGGTCCGGCCGACGCTCCGGGCAAGAGAGCCCCCACACTGTGCGGCGCACGCCCCCAGCCCCCACTCACTAGCATCGACGGCCACCACCTCGTCGCTCCAGCCCGCCCGTAGGTCCCGCCAGAGGAGAGGTGCAAGCCCATCCCAGAGTGAGAGCTCGCGACGTACCGAAGCCCACAGACGCTCCTCCTGGGTGTAATTCTTCCTGACGAAGGCATAGCACGACCAGAACAGCGATAACCCCTCCCGGCGGACCAGGGAGAGGAAGACGAGATGCCCCAGGAGCCGCTCCAGGTCACGCCCAGAGCACCGCCCCCTCCGGAGGACCGCCCGAATAGCCAGGCGGGCCCTCCAGAGGCGGAGAGGGGTGGCAGCCGCGCGGCCCCGGGACCCGTCGATCTGCCACCCCAAAACCTGGGCCACCTTGTCCTCCCCAGAATACTCCTCCTCATGTACGACGAGCCCCCGCCCTTCAAGAGCACGAATAGCATCGGCAACGAGAGAGCGAACAGCACTGGCGTCAGTAGACACGGCGATGAAGTTGTCCACATACTGCGAATGGCACGCGCGATGAAGGTCCGGCGTCACCTGCTTATCTACAATGCGGTTCTCGGGGGAAGCTCCGGCTTGTTCCACAATACGCTCATGGACCGTTTGACACATCCACAGGGCCCAGCTCCAGCCCATCGGCATCACAGACAGTCGAGGGTAGACCATGGCTGACGGAGGAACGGCTTGCCCATTGACACTAGTACACCCCACCGCCCCCGCCCGCACGGCCCTGAAACAGAAAAACGACCTCAAATCGGGAGGCAACTGCATATGATAAAAAGCGTCAGACAAATCGGCCCCGCCAACATGCAACTCCTCTCCCTCGCCGAGCTCCAGCCCAGCCAGGCCTTCGCCGGTGAGGAGGGAAACGGGGGCGGGGTCCTGGAAATGACAGTTGCTTCTACGACAGTCCACTACCAGCCGGAGCTTCCCATTTTTCTTGTGCACGAAAAAAGCTTCAACCCTTTCCTTGGCCGAGAAGCTGAAATCTACCATGCCACGCTGCTGCAGTGCACGGATGAACTCCTCAAAGGCCGCGACCCGACGCAGCTTCGGATCACTATATGGCACCGCCACCTGAGAATTTTTCAAACGAGTTTCTACCTCACTAGACGGTAGCAATCGGCTTTGGACGAAGTCCCTAATCATGTCCGACCCGCCCACGCCCCACAGATCCTCGAGCGGTGCCGGTGCGGGCGAGCCAGAGGGGAGCGAGACGCTAGCGAGGTTATAGGAACCGAGCACGGCAGAATCCACATCGCACCAGCTCGCCACGCGAAGCTTCCGAAGAGCTTCTGCGGGAGTGACCTCCGGCGGAGGCGGGCCGAGAGCAACGACGGAGTCCCGAACTCTATCGAGACAGTGGCGCTGGCCCAGCGAAACAAAAACTGCACGGTCGGCGCCCTGGCCGACGGGGGGCTGGTCCTGGTGAAGATAGAGCGAGTTCAAGGCGTGGACGGCACGGTCACAGTCCATCTCAAAACTCTCGCGCTTCCCCAGGCGCTGTCGGACGGTACGGGAGAGCCCCCCGTCGGTGCCCCGATGCCGCTCCACCGCCGGCCGCGGCAGCGGCAAGATGTCGCGAGGTACCGCACGGGAGGGCTCGTCCCCGTAATTAAAAAGCTTCGTAGGGCGGCGGCACACGGGGCCCACGCGCCTCCCGGACGCCGGGAGCGCGAGGCGCAGAAGTGTGCATGAGGGGGAGAAGCCCGGAGGACAGGGGGAGGAGGGCGAACAGAGAACAAGAGGCCGGCACTGCACCCTCAGAGCAGCGCGAGCCAACCTCAGATGTGGGAGTCGGCGGAGGCTCACGACTTGTCGTCCCCGCCCTTCTTGCGGGCTGCGTCTCGCTCCTTGCGGCCTTTCCGCAGGGCCGTGTTGAGCTGCGCCTCCCGCTCCACGTCGACAAGAACCACGTTCAGGAGCTCTGGACCAATCATCAGCTGCCCCGAGCCCCGGCTGGGCCCCGGGAGCGCGTGCTGCTCCTCGACGCTGAGACGCCCACCGTATCCTCTTGACGCGGCCTCCTTAGCCCACTCCAGGTGGGCGACCTCGATGGTTTGCATCCTCTTCAGCAGCATCTTCACGATGACGAGGTTCGTGCCGTCGAGCTGGACGCCGAGGATGCCGGCCTCGTCCGCCGCCGCGAGGTGGAGGAGCTCGGCCGTCTCCCAGGCGTCGGGCACCGGGCGACACAGCGATCGAATCCGATCGTGGTGAACTCCCAAACCGTTGCCCTCCGAGATGATGTGCTCCAGGCTCCACCCGGCCGCTCGGTCGCCACCGAGCGACCAGTCCTTGTCGAAATCCTCCTTCGTCGCCGCGGCAAACATGTCCGCCCACGTTCGCCCCCGTCGCCCCAGCCCGTTGCGGCGCACCGGCAGGATGCGGGCGTCGACGACCACGATGCGGGCGAAGAACTCCTGTTCGTCGCTCGGCCGTAAGCCGGCCGCCAGCTGGTGGATGTCCTTGTCCCCGATGGCGCCTGCTCCGGCCTGGTGCGGCACGTCGTCCCCGTCGCGGAAGCCGTCGAAGCACTCGTCGGCGACCCAGCCGGCAGCCCCACGGTCGTCGGCCGCACCAACCGCCACAACCCCCTCGGGCACCGCCGCGGCGAAGAAGGCGGCCCGCTGCGCCACCGTCGGCCCCGCCCAGAAGCGGTAGACGTCCCCGGGAGGGATGCCGTCCGGCAGCACGTTGAACGCCGTTGTCCACCTCACGGCCGCGACGTCGGCTGACCCGGCACTGTAGACCTCCGCGTGCCCGTACCGGTCGGGAGTGCCGATCACGAAGAGGCTACCTACCGATAATGCCACCTGCCCGAGCACCAGCCTCTGATGACAGACCTGCCGTGGGCCGCCACTGATGTACGGCATGTACGCCCACGTCGCCATCCTTCACCGGGGCAGGCCCTCGCTCCACGTAGTCCTGGATGGCCGCCCGCCTGCGCCTGCCGCGGCACCGAGCAGCCTGCCAAGCGCTCAGCAGCGCAGCGGCCGTCGCAAGCCCGAAGCCCACGCCGCACACGAACCAGAACAGCCAGCGGTTGGGCGCCGCGCGAAGTAGTTCACCAAGCCCTGCGCGGCGTACTCTCCCCCGCGCTGCACCGCCCACTCGAACATGGGGGGTCCGCCGCGGGAGCCGCGCCTTTGAAGCTAGAGCCAAGATAGGACGGAAGACGCAAGGATGCTGCCACGGCTGTCCCACTCCGCTCTCAAGGATTTCCGTACAAGTACAAGGCATCACCCGTATGCGCATCCTGATCACCCTCCTCTCCTCATCCCCTCATGTGCCACCGTGCCACTGGGCACGGCGTGGGCGTGTCCTGAGGTCCCTTGCCCCATCCCCTGAGCCCCAGTCTTCAGTTCTGAGGAATCAACTCTGGGCCATTACCCAAATTTCCAAAATCTCTTGGGGCGTCCCGCGTGCCCCCTGGGCTCGCCGACATCTTATCGCGTGACTTTTGTTGGGTCCAGGAGGTCCTCCGGACGGGCCCAGAGGGCCCCAAGAGGCCATCAAGACGGTCCAACATGGCCCCAAGAGGCCCCAAGAAACCCCCAAGAAGCCTGACAGAGGCCCCAAGATGCCGTCAAGAGACCCCGAAGTGGCGCCAAGAGGCCCCAAAACGGCCTCCAAGAGACCTCAAGCCGCCTCCAAGAGGCCCCCGAGAGGCCTTCCACGAGATCCCAACGACCACCTTCATACCCACAACCCATCACGGTGGCGGGATGGGCCGAAAGCCATTCGATATCCGCCGCCCCCTGTTGATTCATCACAGGGGTGCCTGGCGTGCTGAATCCTCTCGGTTTTGGTTTTGGTTCTTTTTTCAAAAGAATTCCCCCTGGGGCTCCAGCGCGTCCCGCCGGCCACCCGGAAGACCCGGTAGCAAACGCCAAAAACGGCCGTTTCGCTCGGGACATCCTCAACAAATCGCGAAGATGGCCCAAGATGGCCTCCAAGTCCGCCCAAGATGGTCCAAGACGGCCTCCAAGACAGCCCAAGAGAGTCCAAGACGGCCCAATGGCCCAAGAGGCCCCCCAGAGCCCTCCAAGACGGCCCCAAAGGCCTCCAAGAGGTCCTCCAGGAGGGCCCGAAAAGGCCAACATCATTGACTTTCCTTTGGTATTTGACAGATTTTTTGGAATTTGTTTCTTCTCGGCATTCCGACGGCTCAAGACGGCCCAAGAGGCCCCAAGATCGCCCAAGAGGCCCCCAAGAGGGCCCCATGACGGCCCAAGTGGCCTCCAAGACGGCCCCAAGAGGGCCAAGACGGCCCAAGAGGCCTCCAACACGCCCAAGATGGCCTCCAAGACGCCCAAGATGGCTTCCGAGACGGCCCCGAAGCGCCCCAAGAGGGCCCCCAGTCGGCCCAGAAAGGCCTCCAAAACGGCTCCCGACGGCGTCAGACGTGCCAGGAACTCACCAAGATGGCCGAAGTTGGCTCGAAGCTGGCCCAAGACTGCCCAAGAGGCCCCCAAGAGGGCATCCAGGAAGGCCAGAAGAGGCCAAAAATCCTGATGTTCCTAAGGTTTCTGACGGATGTCGACACCGGCCCCAGAGGTCTCCAAGACGCTCAAGATGGCCTCCAAGACGGCCCAAGATCCCTCAAAGACGTCCTCCAAGAAGGCCCGAGAGGGTCAAAATGGCCTCCAGACGGCCAAGATGACCTTCAAGATGTCCACGTGTTCCCCGAAGGCTTTCCAAACCGACTCGGGGAATACATGGTCCGATAGCTTGGCAGGTCTGGCCTAAACGTTCGGCAACATAGGCGCTTCCAAAAAGGCAGGGGGCGGCGGTGATTCGCCGTAGGCGTCTTCGATCGTCTGCAGGTGCTCCTTTGATGCATGCTGCCCCACCATATTCTCCAATCTTCTGCCGCTGAGGCGCCACAATCGTCTCATCATCGCCATACGCAATGTCATGGCAATTCCAAATCTAACGCGCGACTTGCCTCTTCCCTCGTCTAGCCCTCTTGGTTTACTTTCTCCTCAGAAGCGTGCTTTGGCCTTTGGTGCGCGGCAGTAGGGGCACCGCAGAGGGAACAAACTCAGGCCAATGCTGTGAGCAACCGAAAGGCACTCCGGCGAGGGGTCACTCTTATGCGAAGATGACTGGGGGGGGGCATCTCAACACCCCCGCGCCGCCTCCGCCGCGCCCCCGCAGCGCGTTGTTTGTCCGCTGGGAGTCGGGGCCCCAGGGGCCTGCTGAGGCCAGCATCGGCTACGGCAATCGTGCTACCACGATTGGCGCCAGACGAGGAACGAGGGGTGGCGTTTCTGGCCACGGTTAAGTCGGGCCTGTCCCTCTACAGGAGGAATATGCGAAAATAATCAAAAATAGTAGGGGGCGATGTTTTTAGTACTTTGGGGCATTTGTTGAATGTTTGCTTGACTACTCCTATTTTTCTTCCAGAATGCCCCTGGCCACGGCGAACCTCGGGCACGAGGGCGCTCTCCGGCCCAGGTCTAGGGGGGCAGCCGGGCAGGTGGAACCCTTCCGAGAGCCCCAACGTGGCCCTACGTGTCATCGTCCTGGCCACACCTCGGGTCAGTTGTCAAGGAGGAGGAGGAGGAGGAGGAGGAGGAGGAGGAGGAGGAGGAGCGAACGAACCCCTGGGAGAGGCGCGTCGATCTATAATGGGCGCGCACCGCCGTGCGCGCTCGGGCCCAGCCTCAGGGCGAGGCGCGAGGCCTGCATGTAGTTCTTGTGAGCGATGTAGGAGTTGTCGACGTTGTTGTCGATCTTGATCGAGTGGTAAAACCTGTAGACCACGGCAAGACGGACGAGCACGTGGTCAATCTTGTCGTCGTCGGCCCCGTGCGGGTCGAAATTGATGTCGTGCAGGCCAAGCCTGGCGAGTGCACATTTGTGAAGTCGTCCACGAGGCAGTGCAGCATGGTGCCACAAGCGCTTGCAGACCAGATAGTGGCTGAAGGCGCCGGGGTGAAACTTTGGGTTGCAGCCAAGAACACAACCACGAAGGACGGGCTGAACATGCATACGGTATGACGTGGCCCACCCGCCCGATAGCGTCTTCATCACAGGCCAGAAGCGCGAGGGCGGCAGCTCGGCGATCTTCGGGCGGATGCGGCTCCACGCGGTCTTCACGTTGAACGGTAGCTGGATGAGGGAGGTCATGTCGTTGTCGTCCGCGTACGCGTTGGTGAGGTCGTCGGTGATCATGGGCGTGGAGTCCGAGTCATTGTTCTGGAAGTCGGCGTCGTGGATCCAGCGGCGCCGAGCATGGTGTTCATTAGCTGCACGTTCGAACCTCTGTTGTAGTTCGGCGGCACGGGGAGGATTGAACGCAGCGGAGGTCTGGAGTCTGGATGCCGCAGTTGATTGCCATGCCTGTGTGCAAATACGTTCGGCACGCCGGCGGAGCTGAGCATCTGTTTGGCCACGAAAGAGGACTTGAAGACCGCCACGACGGAGATGACGAATAATAAAGGTTTCGCACCATTCATGCCAATCGTCGACGTCCCATTCACGTAGTGGTTGAGCGAGGTAAATCGAGGGGAGCCAGTCGGAGGCCCAGTGCTGCAGACATTCAGCGATGGTCTCGAGCTCGTTGGCTGCGTTGTGCATGTCGTGGTCATCATCATCAGGCGTGTTGGGAACTTGTAGATGAAGTGGTGGAAATCGTTGGAGGCGTCCTGAGTCGGAATTGGCAGCAGACGGCGCCGACGGGAGGGTGGGGAACCAGGCCCGAAGGCGGGCGGCGATGGTGGAGTCGAAGGAATCTTCGTAGAGCGAGCGCTGCAGCGTGATCATGTAAGTGGTCTGCGGTGATTTCTTTGGAGGATCATCATCAGCACGGCGAATTTTGTCCAGGACGCGATGAGCAGCAGCACGGGCGAGTTCATGGGCTAGGCGCAGCTGACGGTGAGCCAGATGATCGTGATGGCGGCTGCGCTTGATGATCTTGAAGATGGTGCCCTTGTGCGTGGAGTAGTTGTCGCCGAACTTGGCCGCCCGCAGGTGCTGCGCGATCGAAGAAGCGGAGGCCCAGCACGGCGCGGTCCAAAGTCCCTGGACAACCCGGACAAGTGGAATCTGATCGAGTGCGGCAAGATGGTGAAGTTCGAGAAGCTGGGGCCAGGCGTTGATGGTGGAAGTAGCAGATCGCCACAGCGTGGCAGCGAGCAAAACTTCGACACCAATGGGGATGGCGCAGCCCGCCCAGTTCGTCATGCCGAGGATGTCGAGTTTGGTGAATGCTGAAGGAGCAGATCTGATAACTTTATGAAGGGCATGGATTTCTTTGGAAAGAACGAGTTCTGGAGCAGGAAACAGTTGTCCGACGTAGGTGAGACAAGTGATCGCGGAAGTGTTGTACAGCGATACGTTCAGCTGGATGGCCGCAGAGGCGTCGCCCAATATCTGGGCACGGTGGTACCACTTGGCCGCAGGGGCGGCCCATTGAGCACGATCATCAGCACAGGGGCCGATGTAGACTCCGAGGTACTTAGCCTTGCCGTCGATCTTGAACTGAGCCCAGGCGGGGTTGATCGTCCTGAGCGTGTCGCGCATGGTGTTGTCAACGTCTTCGAAGCAGTTGGTCCATACTGGGACGAGCACGCACTTCCGAGGTTGGAGCAACAGCCCCGCGAAAGATTGGGCCGCCTCGGTGTGCGGTAGGATGCCTTGCATGTCACGCAAGTGTGCCAAGACGCAACCAATGTCATCGGCACAAGCACTGGCCATGCCACGGCCAATCTGATGAAAGTGGCGTTGAATTCCACGTAGGAAGGGGTCGAACACCAGGGCCCAGATGGTGCCACTGAGTGGGCAGCCCTGCGCTACTCCGCTGGCTGCAACGAGTAATGGTCGACGCGTGCCTCCCAGCTCGAGGAAGGCAATGGGCGAGGCGTAGAAGGACTGGAGAAGGCGACGGGCGCGGCCATCAATCCCCCATCTGCGAACCACTTCCCATAACCAAGCGTGCCGCAAGCTTGGGAAGGCGGCGGCGATGTCCATACTGAGGAAGCACGACATGTGCTCGGTGGCGTTGTCCATGGTGCTGTAGATGCGGCTGTACGTGTCGGCTTCGACTATGTCGTTGAGGAATTGGCGG